GCCTTAAAAATAACCCGTCGAATTATTACTTGCACATACGAGGCAAGTGTTCCAACACAGAGCTACATTGTCAGCCCTTCTTATTTTTATTTTGAGAAAGGGCCTCATTAAGTTGCCTAGGCTGATCTCAAACTTACTATCCTGCTGCCTCAGCCTCCCAGGTAGCAGGGATTAAGCTGTTAAGTATTTTAATACTTAACAACTGTCCTTTTCAACCATAGTGGGGTGCATGACATTTGGCAGTTTATCGCATAATACTTTCATGGTGCTTTTATTTTTAGTATCTTTCGTTACTTTTTTATCTCATTTTATTCTTGAGAGAGAGAGAGTCTGTAGAAGTGGTTATTTTAGAAAATCAAGCCCTAGGGGTGCGAAATCGGCTGGTTAAAAAAGGACAGGATGGGCTCTGTGGCCGCATAGTCTAAGGAGTATCTAGGTCGGGGCCTGCGGTGGAAGGAAAGCTACTGACGGCAGTGGGAGCGGACGGGTCCCCCCGGGGGGGAATTGGGGACAGGCGGTGGCCTCTGCTTTCTCCCGCTTCCTGGCAGCCGGCGCACGAGGCACTGACCGGCGAGGACCGGTTACCCTGGGTGCTGTCCTGAGCGATCACCAGGGCAGAGGCACCGAAGCCCCCTGCAGAGGGTCGCTTCCCGCTCCAAAGCGGAGCCCACCGGGCGGCCCTGGTCTGCGCGGTCCTCCGAGCGCTCCGGGGGGTGGGACAGGGCGCAGAAGCGGCCCGCTGGCCGCGGGGAGCGAGTCGCTGCCCCGGGTCTGCGTTGATGCTGGGCAGGGCTCGGGCTCCCGGCAGCTGGCCCCGGCCCTGGCCTTTGTTTCCCCGCGCCTTCTCCTGGCACGGGCGGAGGCCCTCGGTGTGGCGCCGTCGCGGCCGCGCGCTCCAGTCTTTGCACAGCTGTCCGGGCGCAGAGCGCGAGGGAGAGCCCGAGCCGCGCGGCCGCTGCGTTCCGACCGCAGGTGAGACTCGCTCGCGCTGGTGTCCGAGCCACTGAGGGCCACCTTGCAGGGGCGGGCGGCTCCGCCGAGCAGCCGCGCTCCAGGGTGCGGGAGGCCCCGGGCTCCACCCCCGGCACGCGCAGGCCACGGACACTGCCGCCCACCTCGCCGGGGCGTGCACGACTCTCCCGCCCGCACACCTGCTGGCCGAAGACCGTGCACGACGTTGGATACAAACTGCAATTTTTAAATTGTTTCCCCTGAAACTACCAGTGGCTCTGGAAACACAGGCACGCACACACACACGCACGGACACACGCATGCAAGGACGCAGGGACACACACATGCAAGGACTCATGAACGCACACACGCATGCAAGGATGCACGGACACACGCACGCACAGACACACGCATGCAAGGACGCACGCACACACGCACGCGTGCACCCCACTGGGATTTTCCATACTACCATAAAGTTCTGCAACCCCTCTCTTCATTATCCATCCTGTTTTTCCACCAATGCTGCCTGCACCTTTCCCAGAAGAAAAGTCATCTCTTAGAACCTGACTTCACAGGCCATGACCCTTAAAAACCACCCCTCCTGCCTCTCCCTCCGCTCCCTCACGAGTCTTCCCCTCGGGTCTTTCCCCAGCACTTCGATCGCTGCTCTGCTGTCTCTGAAAGTTTCTCCCTTTAGCAGCCACTGCGAGCCGCAGCGCCGTCCAGGTGGCTAAGACCATGGTCTGCGCCGCGCTGCTGAGGACGCGTCACACTGATCTTTGCTTACCTTCACGTGGTGAGGACCAGCACAAATATGGGCTTGCAAAATATAAGTAGGAAGTAAAATCAGTGGTTTTTAAAAATGGGGTGGGGTGTAGCTCAGTGGCTGAACATACACTGACTTTGCAGCACGTGCAAGGTGGCCCAGGGTTTCATCTCTAGCAGTGAAAAAAAAAAAATTAATCTCTAGCAGT